GAGTTATATGCTGTTTTCCAGAAATGCATGTAAATCACAAAGCAAGGGAAGCCTGTAAAGTTATTTGATTAAGTTTAAAAAAAAAAAATCTATTGGAAGAAAGGGTTTGGAAAAGCGTACACTTATCCAGTTGAGAACAGTAAATCTAGTCCTCTGGGGCTCAGGAAGAACCGACTCTGTCTCTTGTCAACTCTGAATTCTGCCATGAAAGATAGCTCTAATGGAGCAGCTGGGATTTAAAGAAACATGCAAGTAAATGAACCTCAGTTGATATAAAATACCCTCCCACCTCAAGCACTTCCATAACCATATTTTTGTTCTACTCTCTTGCTATCCTTTCCCTTTGCCTAAATTTTGTTTATATTGAGGAAGGTTTAGTGATACTTTTAAGTATGCGGTGAGATGATGCCTCTTCTATTATGTGCATTACAGTCATACAGTGTTTATTAAAATGTTCTATAGTAAATCAATTAATAGATGCACCAAACAGATGTTTGCTACAATTAAAATAAATAACAGAAATGTTCTAGTATACTACTGTCAATCTGATGCTGATAAATAGGGCAAAAAAGGCAAACTTTTCCCCCTCCTCCAGCCAAACTTCTGTCAGTTAGAAAATACCATCTTGTAGAAGTCTGTAGTTTGACAGTTGCAGGAAAAATGCTCAAAGTCCTTTCAACACTGAAGGCAATGTTTTTATCTTTACGAGTACCTACTTAGGAATTCCCAGCAAACCACTTGAACTCCATTGAAGTTTGCATGCACAAATTAAGAAACAGAATTAGTGCCTATGGAAGAAAATTGGCTCCCATCCCAATTGGAACTGGACTGAGATAGGAAGATGGTGCATCTCCAATCCTATTCAAGCTGGCACTGGAAAAAGTACTTGGGAGCATAAATAACATGAAGGGAGGAGTTCAGCTGAATGAAGGGCATGAAGTCCTTGCATATGCTGATGATACAGCTTTTTGTAAGTGAAAATACGAATGATATAGACTTGTATAATGCTGTATAAAAATGACTAAAAATTAAGCAAATAAAATTTGACTACAAGTAAACGTGGATAAACAGTATCTGCTAGTAAATGGGGCAGTGGTAAATCGGGGACCTCAAGTAACAATGAACAAGACACATTTCAAGCAAATGACCCATTTTCAAGTATTTGGATTATATCATGGCCAAGATAGTAATATAGAAGAAAACATCAAAGAAAGAATGGAAACAAGAAGCAGAGCCTACTCTGCATTGCACATGCTCCTATCATCCAAGTTCATCCTAAGGAAACTTAAGCTTCAAGTCTATAAAACCATATTTGGGCCATGTATAACCCAGGTTTGACTGTCATAGGTTATCTCTCGAGCAAACGTTATACTATTTGATCATTCTGAAAGAGATTTTTCAACAAAACAAACAAACCCCCAAACCCTTTGCACAGTATTATCCTATAACACAAGAATGGCGCAGAAGAACCAATAATGAGTTATATCAATTGCATGGAGATCTAATCCTGATGTAGGAAATCAGAGCACAACTACTACAATGACTGGGCTACATTGAAAGAATGGAAGTTATCTGGATGCCAAAGAAAGTGTTCCATGAGGTACCAGAGAGGGAAAAGGCTGCCTGGAAGACCAAGGCAAAGGGGTCAATGTGATGTAGTGTCAGACCTACAGAAACTAAAGGTAGATAACTGGAGGATGAAAGCACATGACAGATGGGATTGGATGAAGATACTGGAGGCAGCCAAGGGCCTCTAAGGCCTATAATGCTAAATTACTACTACAAATACCTACTTTAATAATTTAAGAGAAAAAAAATGTTATGGCTGTTGCGTGTATGAAAATAACTAGTGTCATCCCAGAAGGAGGAAGTCAGGTTTATTCAGCTAAACGCATGTTTTCAAGAAGTTATGTGAACGTACCACACATGAGATATATATGTTTTTTATATTTGGGCAAATATTGCTTAAAGCATTTTTCAAGAGAGTCAGTTGGAAGTAGGCTGCACTGAGCAAGGAAAAATGCAGCTCTTGACTTTCCTTCATTTAAAGCATTTTACTTTAATTTTAATTATGGAGGTGTATAGCTACTAGAGTAATAAAAACAGATGGTGAAGAGGTGATTTGACTATTTAAAATGCCAATGGAAAGAGATGTCATTTTACACTTAAAAAATAAATCTGACTTGCTTTACTTAAAATAGACCTGAATGTATTTTCTGCAACAAATCTCTTGTAGACAGAAGCTGAACAAATTTTAGAAAATTTAATGTGTTGCAATACTCTTAATTTTATTTTCCCCACAAGTGCATTGCCTTTTCTCAAAAGAAATGCAGGCTTGTATAGATCCTGTTGAACCACTTCTAGCATTCATGGCATTCAGTACCCAGGGAAGTAAAATATTTAAAGCTTTCTTTAGTTGTTAAAACATAAAACGTGACCTAGCTAGTCACTAAAACCTGACCTGGATGGGGAGTTAACTCAAGACCATAAGGTTATGTTATGTCACATAGATAAATCAAAAGAGTTTAAAACCAAGTTTTAAAAAGTTCAAATAAAAATAACTGCAATAATTATGACTCCCTATTAAAATAAAACTCCTGGTAATTCCTAAAATATTATGAATATTTGGATAACTTGTTTAAAGTTATGTGAAAATGAAGAGGGATTGTTGCTGTGGAAGGGGACTTAAATTGAGTCCTCAAAATTGTTAAAAATGATGAATAGCAGACAGAAGAGGAAATGTAGCTTGTATGGCTCAAAACATTTCAGAAATGCAGGTAGTTAGTTGATAGAAGGAGTGACATGGGAATAAAAGTTTCCCATTAGATGTACAATGCCAGATGAATGGGGTTAGGAGTGTGCACACCAGAAGTCCTAAAGGAGCTCAGACTTGAAAGTATGTATCTGATGATGTTGGCACATATCCTGTTGCTGAAAATAGCCTCTCTACTAGAGGGTAACCTGCAAAACACCAGTCTTCCCCCCCAAGTTCTAGAGGGGATGCAGGGGAACTACGTTGCAATGAACCTAACTTCTGTTTCTGACAAATTGTTAGGAACTGTAATGCAAAATAGGATTGTCTTTCACATGGATGAAGAGGACTTGCTGGAGAAGAACCAACACTTCTGTAAAGGGGGATCATGACTCACAAATGCATTAGATTTCTTTGAGATTATCAACAAGCATGTGAATCATGCTTTTGATTAAGTCCTGCCTTGCAGGCTTTTCGTAAAATCAGGCTATTATGGCATTGGCAGTGTTCATTCATGGATCAGCAGCTGTTTAACAGATGGAAGAAACAAAGAATGAGTGTATATGGGTAGCTCTCGCAATGGAAGTAGGCAAGCAGTAGGGTTCTTCAGGGGTATGTGCTGGGGACCTGTGCTGTTTTTAATATATTAAATTACTTGTAAAATGGTGTAAATAGTGAAGTGGCCAGGTTTGCAGATGATGCCAAGTAATTCAGGATGTAAAAAAAACCCCCCAATGCTGACTATGAAGAACTGCAGAAAGATCCCATAAAATAGTGCAAATAGGCAACAAAATGGCAGATTAAGCTTGATGCTGATAAGTGCAAAGTAATACACGTAATATGCAGTACACGTAATTACAAAGTAATACAGAAAGAAGACTGTAGGATACATGTAACGTGATGGGCTCTGTTAGCTGCTGATATTTAATTACTGAAAATGGCAGCCTAGTGTTCGGCAGCCATCAGAAAAAGAGCAGAATGTTGGGAACTATTAAAAGAGTGAATTGAAAACAAAGTGCCGCGTGAAGCATTCGTGCACTTACGCCAATTACTGTGCGTGATTATGATCCTCCTCGCCTCCAAAAGAACATCACTGGGGACCTACCTAACTTGTGGGGGCTGCCCCCTGATTTTTTACAGACAGAACTTGGGCCCTGATGGACTGCAGGGGCTGCCTGTCATGTGGCCCTGCCCCTGAGCTATCTTGTCAACAGCCCTTTGAGCAGGCAGCCCCTCTCCCTTTTCCCTTTCCCCACACCGGGGAGCTGCTGCAGTGCTAAGTAAGTTCTCCCGCCCCCCGTGGATTTTGTGGGCAATGCTGGAATCCATGAAATCACGAATTTGGTAAGTCCCTAAATATAGTAGAACTAGAAAAGCTACAGAGAACTGCAACAAGGCCTGAAGAAGGGCACTTATTTCTGAAAGCTTGTCTGACCTCTCTCCCGGCTGTACAGTTACTACAGTCAGTTGGTACTTACTTCCCCACATTACTTCCTGCACTATCATGTCTACAACAGCACTCCAACAATACTGCCTTTAGGAAAATAAGCATTTATTTGGTCATACCCCTATCTTGACAATTACCAACAGCCAAGAGAATCTGAAACAAATGATGTAACTGTGTGGCAGAGGTAATGTAAAGAGCTATCACTCCTCAAAGGGGTAGATTTCTGTAGGCAATTTTCTGTTGCCTACAGATACTTCAAAGCAATAGCTTTATCCGGCTCGTGCTTCCATGGAAAACATGTTAACATTTATGTCAGACGTGACAAAGGCAGGATAATTTTCAAACTGAATGGACAAAATAACAAGGGGTTGCTTTAAAATACTGGTGAAGATATATTTTTTTTCTGTTTTAACCGCTCATTTTCCTATTTTAAAGTTTCTGTGGGTAAATTGCATCCTAACAGAGCCTCGACTGTGTCTAAAGCAGTGTTTATTTTTTCAGTTCTATATTAATAAACGTTATTGAAAAAAAATTTGAGATTTGTCTGCTTCTTTGTAACCTGGCTTCCAGGGTTGCCGTGTAGATGAATGGATTGTGCAAACTACTGTGGCTTTCTGTAAGTAATACTCAGGCCTGTTTATCCTCAGTATCAGACAAACAAATTTAGACTATCGTAATGGAGATTCTAGGCCAGCAATTTATTTATTTATTTATTTATTTATTTATTTATTTTTAGTTTAACAAACTCTGTGGTGTATATTTCTGCTTTGTGTTTCTAACCATTTTCTTATTTGCCTTCAGGAGATGGGATTCCAAGGGAAAGTAGTCCATTTATTACCAATGCTGACATGGATAAAGGGATTATCTATGAAGGGAAAAACATGGCTCTCTTTGAGGTAATTTTTTATACTTTCTAGTATATCATTCTCAACCCCTAACTTACAGTGAGAATAAGCAAAACTAATGTTTCTTTCTGTTCACTAAAAACTTAATGCACAAGAAGTAAATGTTGTCAGTTTCTTTTAGTAGTTTCATTTTGGATTTTTGTTCAAATGTGTTTAAAAGTTTGATCAAATTCACTTTCAAAATGTTAGTTTCAATTGGAAACTCGTGTAAAGGATATATTGCATATTAATAAACAACACTGAACAAAACAATCCAGAACAACTAAAATGAGTATGGACTCATGGGCCCTGTCCATATGAGCAGGGGCATGTGTTTGCAGCAGCACATAGTAGTGGCACAAATTTTATGCCACTGCTTTGTGCGGCCCCTGTCCAGGCACTTTACAGTGGGACACAGTCCTGCTGTTCCATGTGTTGCAGGGAGGGGCTGGCTAGGGCACAAGGTGCCACAGTGCGAGCTAGCTGGCAGGGGAGTGGCACCTGGAAATGGGGGAGCAGGCGGCCCTGCTCCCCATCTCTGTGCACTGCTGATCCCCTGTGCTGAGGCACTCTGTGCCCCAACCAATCGCTCCCTGGCTGGCTGGGATGCAGTGTGCTTCGAGATGTGGGAGTGGGTGTGCTTCGAAATGGGGAGCAGCCAGCTGCTGTGCAACATTGTACAAAAAATACATATTAAAAAAATGTCAGTTTGCTAAGATTTTTTTTTTGGCACTACTTACCAGATAAAAATGAATCAAGGCTCCGCATGTCAATATTTGAAAAGGCCATTTAACATCTCTAATGTTTTGAAAAGTGTTAGTATTTACTAGTATAATATTTACATGCAGTACTACTTTAAAATCCAAACAGGAAGAAATGGATAGCAACCCCATGGTATCATCTCTGCTTAATAAGCTAGCAAACTATACCAATCTGACTCAAGGTGTAATTGAACATGAAGCAGATGAAGACAGCAAACGAAGAGAAATCAAGGTATTGAACCTTTTGATCAGTGTTACTACATACAGTTTTAATTAGTGAGCAGCATACTATGTAAAAAGTGAGCATGCTTTGTGCCTTGAAACATCTGTTATCTAAAAGACTCCTTTGCCTTCTAGAGAGATGCTCAGTGGATACTTTAGCCTTTATTGACCTCCACACTGCTGCTACCACCAGCACCCAAGCTGGCTAGTCTAAAGCTAGCTCAAGTATGCAGGGAGTGTGAATACATATATTTGGAGCAGTTTCAAAAGGGTAGCAGCTGTTGAGTGGGGACAGTCTAAGGACAATACAAATGTTGCAAAACCTTTCCAACTTCAACCCTGGATGAAGCAGTGTTTTCTTCTGCTCCTTGAGTCTTTGTAGCTTTATTTCTGGTACTGCTAATGACCTGACCTTTATTTTCCAGGCAGACTTGTACATTGGCTGATGTAGGACTCCCTTATTAAAGAGTAGCATAATTAATGCTGATCAAAATGAGTTTATGGAAAATTATATTATGTCAGACTAACTTAGTATTGTTTTAGTGATGACAAGTTTGGTTGATAAACACAATAATGATCATGTAACATGCTAAAATTTTGAAAGACATTTAGGTTAATAGCACACAGCATTTTGATGAGAAACTAGATATTAATATGATAAACATGAAATTGATTACCTCAGGGCTGTCTTCTGACCTGTGCTATGTAGGAAATTAGATTAAGTGAACACGGCAGTTCATTTGGTCTTGTGTAAATTAATATTAATTTGTCAAAGATCAAAATGAGAAGGCTTAAAAAAACGTGTTTTTCTCCATCAATGATTTCTTGGATAAGCTAGTTCTAGAATTACAAGTTCAGAATCTTTAAAGAGTTGGAGGTAGCAAAAATGTGCCTGATCTTTCTTATTTTTGGTAATAAACTGAGGTACTGATACAGATTGGAGTGTCATAAGATGACGTGCTCAGATTATATTTTAAAAGGCAGCAAGTCAGTTGGATTGGTTGGTATTCCCCTTCTAAGAGTTCAGATAAAACTAAAGTAAGTGACTAAACTGCTAGTAGAGAGAGTTGCTGCAAAACTGCTACCAGGCCAGAAGGTTAGAGTGTAGCGAGTGCTGTACTTGTATTTCCAAAAGGCACTGGGGGTGATCACGGGAATTTCAGGCCAGTAAACTTTATTTCAATATGATTTATGAGGTATTGATACACAGAATGCTAAAACATTTGGAAGGTCTTGATCTGAGTTCATCTTTCTTGACTATAGGTAATCAGAACTATACATTTTATTCTAGATGAAGACTCACTGGTGCCTTCTAAACTGGCATGAAATGTCATTGATATTTATATCTAGTTACTAGGGGTGTGTGACACGGGCCGTATTTGATTCGGATTTGGCCTGAATCGGGGACAGTGTTTCAATTAATTGATTCAGATCACTGTCCCCAATTCGATTTGGCCAAATCTGAATCTGAAGATTCGATGCTGATTTGGAGGATCAGCAATTCGGACACAGACACAGCTTTAAATGTTTTTTCTACATACCTCGGTACAAGGTGCGGCTCGTGAATGTTGTGATGCTGGGGAGGATGGAACGTCCCACAGGAACATGGGGGGGCCCCCCGCGTGCTTGGCAGTGAACCTGGAAGTGGGCTAGAAGTACTTCTGGTCAACTTCTGGGTTTGCTGCCAAATGCGCTGGGGAGCCCCCTGCACTCCTGTGGGACGTTCCATCCGTCCCAGCATCACAGCATTCACGAGCCACCTGCTACCTAGAGGTATATAGAAAAAACATTTTAAAGCTGTCTGAATCCTTCCAAATTGATTTTGGATTTGGAGATTCGGCCGCCAGATCTCCACCGAATCGAATCGGGGACCAAAGCTTTGCACAGCCCTACTAGTTACTATTCTACTTGTTAATGTTAAGGTTAGCTGTTTTAGCCTGTGTAGTTGTGGAAATGATGATAACTTTTTCCACACGTAAACACTGGAGTGGTATCTCAGTGCGTCTTCAAAGAGATGGACAGTTGTTAATAGTGACTATATCTGCATGGGTCATTAGCACTAACGTTGCATCTTAACAGTGGCTGTAATTTAAAAAATAAAGATTCAAAAAACTCAGTGGGACACACTGTTCAGTCCATTTGAGAATCAAATGCCTGCCTCAGGTGTACAAATATAGTTTCAAGAACCTAACTTGAGGAGTTTTTCTATTTTTTAAAAATCCTGGCCAGTGTAATTATTAGTGCCAACTGTTTTGTGGTTGTGTACTTTTGCAAACATGTCTAGATAAGTTATAGGAAACAGTTAGAATGTTGACAGGGGCCTGAATAGAGAGCTATGATTTCTTATTTTTTCTTATTTTTTGACTGAAAGCAACACAAAGAAAACATATTAATAAATAAGTCAGGCTGGGTCAGACCTGTAGCCAATCTAGTCTTATATCTAGTCTCTGCCAGTGGCCAGCACCAACACCAGGTGTTTCAGAGGAAAGTAGAAATGTAGCCAAGTATCAGAAGATGGGTCTACATAAGCCCTGATACTTCAGGCTTTCTATCCTTTTCTCTTTTTGCATTAATTCTCATCTGTAAATTTATAAAACTAAAGATTCTGAGATTCTTCACTCAGGTTTTTTTGTTCAACTCTTATTCAGGGAACATGTATGAGCTGTAAGTTTTCTGAATGAGGGTTTTGGGGTATACTTAACCTTTTACTTGGGAAGGAATTATCTCTGGAATTTGTATCATTTGTTGTTCTCAGGCTCCACGGATGGGCACTTTCATTGGTGTGTACTTGCCCTGCCTACAAAACATTTTAGGAGTTATCCTTTTCCTGCGTTTAACTTGGATTGTTGGAACAGCTGGGGTCCTTGAATCTTTCATCATCGTGTTCATGTGCTGTGCTTGTGTAAGTTGATCTTAATGCTCTTCTGTTTTTAGCATTGGTGAAATTGTGTTCTCTACCACCTCTGCACCATTCCTCTTCCCAACTGTTTGCCTAAGCAGCAGGGCGAGATCTCGGAGGGTTCAAGTAGCAGTAAAAGTACATCTACAATGTGGTACTTGTTAATCCTGCCTTGATTGATAGGACACAGTAGCTTTGTCTGTTTATCATACCCGAACTAGCTTCACAAAGCTCAAGTCTGAGGGTCTTGTCACATGCAACACTTAACACGTTTTATTTAGATCATAGTAAGCATAGCTACAAGTTAGAACTTGTTCTGAGCAGTCGCAGGGTAGTGCTTACTACCATCTGGAGAGGCTGGAGCCAGTTGTACAGTTGATGACCAGCTGTTCATTGGTTCCATGAACAGCACTGCACCAGAGCTGGTGAGGACTGCGTGTATTACTTTTGTGGAGCAATCTCATGATGCTTGCTACGAAATGATGGCACTTAACACGTGTTTTACTGCTTGAAAGTGTGGATGGTAACCTTTTAAGTGCAATTGAACATTACATCTAGGATGTGGCAAGGCCCTGAAATGCTGATGTAGTTTGGCCTTCTTTTTTTTACTTAGTTACTAAAACTAAGTTTAAGGGTTCTCATTAAATAAGTTTATAATATGCATCTTCTGTATTGAACTATGCTGTAGTAATTTTAAATTTAGACAATGACTAAGTATTTCTCAAAACTTTATAGCAAATGTCAAAATGTCATATTTTATTAGCACTATTTGGCTTGATCTAATAAATTAAGTTAATAAACTTAACTATTGTGCTGTATGAAACCCCTAGTGAAAAGTTATGTAGAGATTCTTAATAACCAGTGATCAACTAATGTTTAATTAACAGAGATTTTTTTTTTTTTTGTTATAATTTTGTTGAAAAGTGCAAGCCTTCCTTCCTTCCTTCCTTCCTTCCTTCCTTCCTTCCTTCCGCCTGGACGCTGCGGAGCAGGCTCGCTTGGAGCTGCGTGGGGCGATCCCGAGCGTAAGACTCCCCGGCTTCCTATCTCTTTTCTTTCTTCACTCCCACCTGTCTAAAGGTCTCTAGCCTCTGTTTATTTCGCTTTCTGACTCTTTTCTTGCTTTTTTGCAGCTTTCTCCCCCACTTTTCTCTCCTCTCTCTTCCCTCCCCCTCTGCTTCCGGTTTCTTTGTCTGTGAGACGCTTCTCGCAGCCT